AAAATTATAATTAATCCACACTACACAAGTGATTGAGTGGAGGATAATACTTTGGCGTTTGATACGAAGGGTTCGAGTCTAGGTGAGGACGCCATCACGCAGATGAAGAGTCCAAAGTAGAACACAAAATGCACACCCTAGATTTTCTTACTAGTCACCACCCATCAAATAACACCATGTTAATTCTCAAACACCATCAAAGCCTACGTACCAGGAGCCGACTTATAAACAGTAGACGATTACTTGGGTCCAATCAGTCAACGCGGAAAGGGAAGATTGACTGAAGCAAAGTAGAAATGGCACTATTCGTAATATAAGAATGTTAGTTGTTTGAAGGCCATCAGCGAGAATTCCTATAGCCAGGCGTATCTCCAGCCTTAAAATAAATCGTACCCTCTTTGAGGCTTAAACCGCATCACCCAGTTCTGCAGTCTGCTATTTAAGCAAGGATCAGATATGAAATGTCATAGATAAACACCATTAAAGAGGAAGAGGCCTAACATAGCTGCCTGTATGCTACGCTCTAACTTCAACAATACAAAGAAAGTGGATATGTTCTAATTTCGAGGAGCCATTATATTCACTTTGTGAATAGGATTGGATGAAGAGACTACTGAGGTTGAAATATCAGCATCAAAAGATGGTTTATTTAGAGAAATTGGAGAAACACGAGATGATTACGTGGTGAGTTTATTCAAGAAGTCACTATGAAATAACGGAAAACCTCCCCTTCAAAATAAGTGAAATTACAGCATTGGTCACGCTTCAGAAAGGGTCTTCTCTGCAGCAACAAAATCTCTACGAAAAGTCGTAGAGATTAAATAAAGAATCCTAACTGTTCAAACGCGGAGATCACAACGCTTGACTCAATACTAAGTAACAAAACACTTTAAAATTCAGGTGTTGGTATGTAGAGATTTGACTGGTCACAGGATTTCATCATGAGCTGACATTAGTTAGAGAACCATTGGAAAACCATCACTGGAGTACTGGACAGCTGTTTCATCTTAGTTTGAATCTTTTCAGCAGTACGCATCCACTGGGATTCGAACCCAGGACCTTCTGGTTACAAGGCGAGCTCGTATACCAAAAAGCCACTGCGACCCGATCCAATGGTCAGCCCATGAATTCTAACTTCTGTCAATTCGCGACATAGCGGGACCCCTAGCCAATGTCCTCACACCTGATCTGCTGAACCCTACTGGTCACGACTTCTCACTGGAACCTACCTAAAGAGAGCAAGTCACTAAAATTACTGAAGAATAAAAAGTAAATGGTTAAAGCAGTAGTTGACAAAAAAGGGGACTACAGCGATCATGGAGAAAGGATATTACATCAAGAAAGTTGAAAGCTTGCTCAAAGATGACAACATATATGTAGATGGCTGTCGACTAATCCGATCCAAACTTAAAACGATCCTGCCAAAAGAGCTTCAAATAAGTTTATCAATTCAGGATAAATCACAGAGTCAAAACACTAGCAAATGAAACCTAATGCGCCTATCATGCCTCGGCTGTACGGCAGATCCGAAGCACACAATCCAAATATCCCTCTTTAAACAATTGCTTAACTCCAATGTACCATTTTTTTCAAAACAGATCAGCAGTAAATTTCAATATCTAACAGAATCAAGCAATTATTCTATCAAACTGTCAACTCAATTTCTAGAGGATAATAGCAGCATTCAACACTAATCATAAGAAAGGTATCATATCTCACGAAATTACAGCCGCATACACTTCAGTTGGTTGAAATCTAAAAAGGTAACGATAACCTAATCAACAATAACAAGCACCAGGCACCATCAGCAGCAGAAATATGAAAAAAATCAATTATTCCACTTATCCAGGAAGCATCGTTTTAACTACAAGTGCACAGAGACTTTCGCATCACCAAAAGCACCTGCAATCGGTAACTGAAGACTTTCGTCAACATCCGCCTTCTCTACCTCTCTACCGAAGATTAGACAGCCGGTCAGAAAGAAACTGTAGCAACGAATCAACCCGAGAGACTACCACTCATCAAGTATGCAGATATGAGTGGGGGTGGATTGTGCACACGTCGACGAGACTGTTGGGAGACAACACGCACCAGGCATTCCAGTGAATTTTGGCGGACAAGTTGGATGTCATTTCGAGGGTGAAATGAAGGAGGTTGTTTGAGAACGAAGTGAAACCTTCCATTATGGGTAAAATTTGTTTTGATAGAGTCTCACAGTGTTATTATACAGTAATGTTTACTGATGACAACGTTTCGAACACAATTTATTGCCGCTCATAATCATATCAAGGCATTAATCACACAAATTTATAACTTCGTTTATATAATTCCATTATTTCTCATCGCTTGATTTGATTGGTAGTAGTATTTTGCGTATTTCCGGTATAAGTGATGAGTCATTCCTGTTGCATGAATATTAGGCGTCTACTGTCATCTGCCATCTAAGGAGGGGGCATCTGAAACCCTACGTATGATTCTGAGTAAAGCAGGAATTCGGGTGGCATTCAAACCTACAAACTCACTCAGGGACGAGCTCTGTAGGTTAAAGGACCCCGTGGACCGAATTAAACAAAGTAATATAATTTACAAAATACCCTGCAATGATTGTGAGTGAGATCAACTACACAGGTCAAACTAGTAGCTCAGGGATAGTCAGATTGTCGGAACATTAGAATTTACTTGAGGTAAGAATAGTTGACCCCGAAAGGATAAGTGATTTAGAAAAAAGCTCAGCGATTGCACTAAATGCCTTAACACACAACCACACAATAGGTTGGATAGGAAAGGGTTAAAATTCTAAGAAGTAATATAGGTAGGCGAAGATAGAGAGAGGTTGATTACTGAATCCTTGTTCATCGAGTCTTCAGGCAACACAACACATGCAATAAGAATGATTCATCACTCATACCGGAAATATGCAAAATACTACTACCAATCAAATCAAGCGATGAGAAATAATGGAATTATATAAACGAAGTTATAAAGTTGTGAGATTAGTGCCTTGATATGATTATGAGCGGTAATAAATTGTGTTCGAAACGTTGTCATCAGTAAACATTACTGTATAACACTACACTGTGAGACTTTATCAAAACAAATTTTACCCTTAATGGAATTATACTCCACCCCCACAGTGCACAAGTTTTATTCTTATATAGTTAGTCATGTAGCCACCTAAAGTCAACTGCAGAAAACCAGATGAAATGGAGTTTTGCTGTTGAAGCCCAGTGTATCTAATTCAGAATAAATAACGTCTCTGATTGGAGAATTGGTTGACGTGGACACGCATCTCAGTCAGTTACATATCCTCACATAACCTAGATGTGCAGGGATTCCCGTCAACTGTTTCCAAAAAACCCAAAACTTCAGTTTTTCAAAATTCGCTTTTGTATTTAGTGATCTGGGAAAACAACAACATCTTGTATTATTCATTTTACTATCAGAATGAATATAATAATATAGTAATGATTTACTTTATTCCAAAAAACAGTATTTGTGATACAGAATGGAATTTTCGGCATTAATCACACACAATATTGCATCTAATTTCCTCAAATTATAAATAAAATCAATCACACAGAAAATCTTCCACATTTACAATAGGGCTAATGTCAGAAACATGCAGCATATAAAATGGAAATAATAATAATAATGGTAACAGCTAAGGTAATAATAGTAATAATACAAGTGAAAATTCCCGTGGGCTTGTTTCACACAGTATTGTCAATGTGGTATGTTTAAAAATATTGAATATAATGTTCTCTTTACATGATATGGTCAGGGGAAAAACAAAGATTACAGCAGTCATAGAGATATGCTGGTGTTTGCAATTATGAAAGTAAAACAAACGAAGAAGCAACAGGACCATAAATATAATAGAAATAATAAAAGTAAAGCTTGAAGGTATATAAGGATGGATGGATGGAGGAAATTGTTTATTTACTAGATGAAAAAAGGTTAGTTAATTCTTGCCTGACACTATTTTCATCACATAAAATACGTTCCAAGTATGGTAACATAGAATTTTTATACTTAGATGTGCGAGCATACAGTTTCCCTGAAGTTACTTCTAGTTCTACCTGAGGAGGAAATGCAAGGTGAAAGCTGAGGGTGGATGAGAGTGGATGCTCCAAGTCAGACAAAATCCCTTTGGCAAATTTATTGCACGAAGTCAAGTGCCTATCGACAACGACGTTAACTAAGTGGTCCACTGGGACACCACTCACCCTACTGACTGACAGTCTTCAGCATTCTACGAATTGTGACATAGTCTTTTTTAGGCAAACCAGGGAAGAATAAGCAAGGGTGAACAATAAAGAAGAATAGGTAGGATACAAGCAAAAGTTTATGAACTGTAAGAGGGAAGAGGTGTTGAGTTATAACTTAGTGCCTTAACTTATTAATGTAAAAAAGATATCCATCAATTCCACTCGAATTTGTGCGTCGGTAGCATAGTGGTTATGACTCTCGCCGGCCATTGCACATGGTCCAGGGTTCGATCCCCTGCCGACGCACACCTGATATCTATGGTCGGCCTACAGAATTTTGGCTACCGATATCACATGCTGAAAATTTCATACCTGTACCAAAAATATAGTGTGGAATCAAGCTGTAATCAAAATAAAAAATAAATAAAATAGAATATTTCGTTCGTTAGGTTGTTTTTAAATGTTTAAATTCTTTTAAAGTTTAAATTTAGAAGTTATGTCTATCATTCAAACTGTCTTGCATCTGTCTATCTGTCTGTATATTTCAACATAATTTGAAAAGTAATTAAAATTAAAGAATTTCAGCATCTTGATGTTTACTAGATTTTCGGTTTGAATGACGTGAAAACGAAATTAAATTAAGTTATTGATTCTTCATTAAAGAATGAATGCTTTATCCCCTGCACGCATAGAAGTTTTATAACAAAACAAGTTGAGTATTGCGTATATATATATATATATATATACATATATATGCATATATAGTTTGATTATTTTGAAGATACGTGGAAAATGAAGACAAATTCCATGCTTTTAATCGTCTGCATCAGCTTATTCGCTCTCCTGAAGGAAATTAGAGCAGGTGGAGGTGAGTTGACCTATTCCACCCGAATGGATGTTAATATCTTCATGCATTTGTTCCGCTTGATGAATTTGAATAAAGCAAGAACAACAGTGGAGGTTTGTGCAGAATAAGAAGATGATACCATCATTATTTATTTCGTTGGCTTCTCATCAGCTCATCAGCTGTTTACAACCTAAATAAATTATGAGGTTTATGTACACATAAAAGTTTTAACATACTTGCAAATTTTGCATGTTTGACAAGTTGACGGAAAATTTCACAATAAGTGAAACAGTGCTCAGAAAATTACACTTATATAGTTTTTACACAGGCAGTTCAAGTTAAAACAAAATAAATGTATGCACACAATAGTAAAGGAGTTAAGTAATAAAGTTGAGAGATGCGTAAGATGCAGAGTGACTAAAAAATTAGGTAACAATGTATTGAGTTCAACTCAAATCATAGAAAGAATAGACAAGCAAAATTACAGATTATAGAAGAGGTTAAGGTTAAAGACAAAGATTGCGTAATCAGATGAAAGCGAGAGAATAAAGACATCCATTTACCAGGTGGGCAGAGAAAGACCTTACAACTGCTTCTTTCTGAACACATAAATCTACCTCATGACCCGTGTCGAGGAGATGTCGAGAAATCCTTTAAAGTTACAAATAGACAAAGGAGCGTGATTCTCCTCAATTTCGCTGAATCAATTTCTATCAAACGCTTGAAACCAGCTTTATATGTTCAGAAAGAAGCAGTTAGCAGTCTTTTCTTGCCCCACCCTGGTAACTGGACGTCTTTATTCTCTCGCTTTCATCTGATTACACAATCGTTGTCTTTAATCTCACCCTCTTTTATAATCTGTAATTTTGCTTGTCTCTTCTTTCTATGATTTGAGTTGAACTCACTACACTGTTACCTAATTTACTAGTCACTCTGTATCTAATGTGCACTTCGTCTTTATTACGTAACTCCTTTACAACTGTATGCATACATTTATTTTGTTTAAACTTGAACTGCCTATGTAAAACTATGTAAGCGTAATATTTTGAGCACTGTTTCACTTATTGTGCAACGATTTGTCAACGGACAACATGTAAAATTTGCAAATATGTTAAAACTTTTCTGTACATAAACTTCATGATTTATTTGGACTGTAAGCAGCTGAGCTGATGAGAAGCCAACGAAATAAGCAATGATGGTACCATATTATTCTGCACAAACCACACTGTTGTTCTCGCTTTATTCAAATGATTTTACTATGCATAATTTCAATACGACTATATTGATCATTATTATTGTTATAATTCCCGTCGGTTCTAAGCGGAATCCAGGGCTTCTACAGCATGTATTCATTTTTTCCTATTCTTATGCACTTTACAATCGCCTAATAAGCTGTCATCATCTCTCCATACTATCCTTATCATATCGCCCTTGGACCCAGGCCTACTTGGGAACCTAGTGTGTGATAGTATGCAACGGTCTCATCAGTATCCATCCAGTTTATCTCTATTGCCTTCGACATATTTCAATATAGCAAAAGCATTCATTCAGACATCTATAAAAAACAAAATAATTGAGCAAAGAAGAACATCCTTTTCGATAAATTCCTCTTCTGGATTTACAATTACATATATGTTTACATACATAGAACATTCTAGATTAGTGGTCAATAACAATATAAGTGTTTTTTTTAATAATATCGATTTGTTAAGTAGGATCCATGGGATTACAGTTCATTAAAGATGCTTAAGTTATAATAATAATAAGGATATAGTAGCGAATAGAATATCAACTAAAATTAGGAAAATTCCACAAAAATTGCGCATCATTCAAACCTAGATGGCTAAGCGGGTAAGGATGATGTCTGAACCAACTAACTTCTTTTGGATGCACAATTTAGGCTTGTTAGTATGGATCCCAACAGCCGACCTCAGCAATATTTAGTGGTCGAACTCTTAAGGCAAAATTGAGATCCGTAGGTATGCTGTAAATGACAGTGAAAGCATGGTCAACGTCAATCTTGTGTTCTGTATCCACAAGATGAGTGAGATAGAATAGCGCTGCGAATAGATTTTATGGAGCCAGTTACATAGGTCGTACAATTAGGCGTGTTGCTCGTCGAATTTCCGAACATCACCTTGCGTGGTTGGTTAAGCAAATGACAAACAAAATCTATTCTCAGCGCCATTCTATCTCATTTTCTGGATGAAGAACACAAGATTGACGTTAATCATGCTTTCAATGTCATTTACCGCATACCTACGGATCTCAATTTTGCTTTAAGAGTTCGACTACTAAATATTGCTGAGGTCGGCTGTTGGGATCCAGATTAACAAGCCTAATTTGTGCATGCAAAAGAAGTTAGTTCAGACATTATCATTACCCCGTTAGCCATCTAGGTTTGAATGATTCTCAATTTTTGTGGAATTTTCCCAAATTTTATTTGGTATTCTATTCTCTACTATATTTTTATTATTATTATTATTTAAGCATTTTTAATGGACTGTAATTCAATTGTGATCTCACTTTACAAATCGATATTATTTAACAAAACTAATATTGTTATTGACCACTAATCTAGAATATTCTATGTATATAAACATACAGATATCTAATTGTAGAGGCAGAAGAGGGAATTATCGAAAAGGATGTTCTTCTTTGCTTAATTATTTTATGTTCGACATATTCGTTGGACAATAGGTTCTTGGCTGATTTATTTCCAGAGTCTCTTGTAGAGCATTCTTTCCAACTGGCCATCTGGTATTCAGGATGGTGTGAAGGCAGATGTTGTGAAAAGTCTACAATGGCCTGTTTGAAATGCTTTGCGTGACTTGTCAAGTCTCTGAATGAGACTTCACATTAGTGTTGAAAAACAGAATTTTGTCGTTTATGTAGAGTTCATCAGATTCGCACACTGATTTCAGGGTGTTGAAGGCCGTTCATTTTACTTTTCTCATCCGTGTTGGCTTCACTCTTGTCTCCGGCTGTAGTTAAAACAAACGATAACACTTTATATTAGACTGATTGGTAATAATAATGATTTGCCTTATTCCAAATCAGTCCTTGTGATACAAAATGAAAATTCTCATCATTCCTCCACAGTATTGCATCCAGTCACTAAGTTAACAATCAATAAAATTCTACATAGATTAAGGGTAATCTCAGTTAGTTTTTACAACAAAAATGAGCATGTCGGTAGCAAAGCCAAAAGTGAACAGAGTGTTTGAAGGTGTTAGAAAAGTAGATACTACTAGCATATTTACTGGCGTAAGTAGTAACAAAAAGGTCGAGATATACAGAGTGTGAAAGAACGAAGAAGAATGTTTCAATAGAGTTTGTAAGGAAGAGAGAAACAAAACAGCACATGACAGAAAAAAAGGGGGAGAAAAGGAAAAGAAAGAAAGAAAACGTTGTACCTATCTATGAATGATATGAGTTGAAAAGATGAAATCCAATCGTTCTACTGACTATTTGATAAGTCATGAGTTTCCCGCCTAATGCTTTCTTTATCGTCCAGAACACGAGCTAGCCAAGTAGGGTATGGTTGAGTTTTGGTACTTACTAGTGCGAGCATACTATGGTTTTCTATATGGGCTTCTGGTTCTGCCTGATGAGATAGATACAAGGCGAGAGTAGTGAATGAAGACGGTAGTGTGAGTTAGATAGAATGGATTTAGTCCATTTTTCACATGAGTCCAAGTGCCTGTCGACCAGAATATTAACAAGCTGGTTAAGTGGTACGTAGCTTACCCTAGCTGACAACCTTTAACATCCTGCGTAATAAGGTATATTCTTTCTTCAGTAGCCAGCCCAGGAAAAACTAAGGGGGAACAATAAAGAATAATAGGCAGGATGGGAGAGTTAACGAATCGTAGGCTTAATGGTTAGGTTGTACTGGAATGTCTTAACTTCTTGATGTAGAAAGTAAGAGGGAATATTTTCTTAGAAATCATCAAGATATAAGTTGAGCTGAAATTGTCCGTTCACTTTTAAATTCGTTACATTCAACTGTGTTATTCATGTCTAATTTGTTGATTGAATTTGAGTACAGTAAAGTGTATGGTAATTAATAGCTAATCTTTTTTGAAGATTTGTCATGTTTTGACAATTCTACAAATGAAATGAAAAATAGCAGCTTGGAGACAAATAGTGATTGGGATAATGTTTTATATATAGATCTGTTTTAATTTTAGGAGTAGGATTCATTTTTGACTTCCATATCTTAACTATATACATATTTTTTCAGGATATGAAGAAATATATGCCTTCATAACATCTACCTTTTAATCTCATAATTCGCACTGGGAATAGATCAAGGACTGATTTATTGAGTATAATGGCAACAAATAAAGTGAGGTCACTTGGGAGTTTCAACAATTAAGACAATCACTTAGTGGAATTTGAGGAAAGTCATCTGGCGTCGTGATTCTTACTATCAAGATGTCTCAGATATTATTTATTATTATTTCATTGGGTTCCAGCTGGAACCTAGGCCTCCAACAACGCATTCCCACTTTATTCTGTTTTCCATTGTCCTCTTTGGCTGGGTTCACAGTTATCCATAATCTCTCATCTCTTCCTTGACACACGATCCCTTCCAAGTCACTCTTGTACTGACGACCCACTCGTCGCCTCCTACTATTGGGATTCCACTAGGGTGATGGCCTACATTGCGCGCGATACCATCCCTAGCAATCCGTCTAAATTTTCTCCTACATATTCGTTGAGTATATGGGGTCTTGGTTGGTTTTTTTCCAGCCTGAATTGCTTCTTGCTAATTTTTTTTTCTGGTCAGCCGGACATTTGATCTTCACTATGGAGCCAGCGAACTGGGCAACTGTTTCTAAAAATTTGCAGCTGGTTAGAAATACTTCTCTTGACAAGCTGGACAATTTTATGACCCATATAGAAGAACTGGCCGACTAAACATTTGTGTTGAGAATCCAAAACTTGTTCTTTATGCTGTCTGAGTGCAGAAGATCGAATCTCTCCCGTTGATGGGGAATAGTGCTGTTTATTGTTGTTGTTATTGTTGCTGTTTTATTGGTTATCGTCATCACCTGCCTCGATCTATTCAATGTTCACTTGGAATGATGTCTTCGCTGACAGCCCCTTATGCGGGTTTGATTTTTCCGCCTGTAAGTCTTCGAGTTTGTGTGGCATTAAACATAAATCATCCACACGCGTAGTCCAGACCTCCTAGAGTCTTATTATCGTTCAGTCCAAAGTATTCCAGTCTTTTCACTCCCCACAGTCTTCCGCATAATCCGGTCTAGAGAACTTTCTCTCCTAATACCTTCTAGCTACAAGTGAATAAGCTATCCATCGATTATTCAACTCCCGTAGTTTAGCTTACAACTATTTTTTTCTGATTACAGCTTGATTCCACATCGTATATTTTGGTGCAAGTGTGGAATTTTCAGCATGTGATATCGGTAGCTCAAAAATTTCTCAGGCCAACCATAGATATCAGGTGTACATCGGCAGGGAATCGATCCTCGAACCATGTGCATGGTCGGAGAGAGTCCCAACCACTGTACCACCAACGCACCAACCAGGAGACAATATATCTTATTATATGCTTACTTTATTCTATAAATAAATGAGCGGTTTATTTTTACGCTTTGTAAATATTTGTTCAATTCCCAGGTACAGGCGGTAGGTTCCTCTAACTCTTTAAAACATAAAGTATATTTTATATATATTGTTCATGTGACATTTGGTCTATGAGACATAGTAGCCCACGTTTATTATCATCATGTAAGTTGTCCATAGAATATTTTTACCTGAGTAGTTTCGTTGTCTTCTGGAATGATTGTCACATACTGGTATAATTGTCTTCTTTGAGCTGTCTGGTATGATCGAGAAGTTCTAATTGTCTTCCTGGATAACATTATCAGTCAGTGAGCTTTGTGATGTCTCCATGAGTTTAACACCCATCTCTACTGGCAACACAGAAGTGTAATTTAGTTATTGGATTTCATCGTGACCTGACATCGGCTAGAAAGACATTGGAAAACCACGTCTGGATTCCTGGACAACTGTTTTTCCAGGCTAGTTTGGGACTCTTCGTCATTACCAACCGACACTATGGGGTTGGAGCACTCGATTTTCTGGTTACAAGGTGAGGTGACAGACCATTAAGCTAATGGGACCCAGTCCACTGTTCCGTGAATTCCAGCTTCTGCCAATTCACGACATAAGGCGACCGCTAGCCAATGTCACAGGTGGCATGTATTTGTCCTCACACCAAACCTGCTGTACACTACTGGGTGTATTGCTGAAGAGTCCCAAACTAGGATGAAACGGCTGTCCAGTACTGCCGGATTTTCCAATGGTTCTCTAACCAATGTCAGCTCATGATGAAATCCTGTAAGTAATCAATTAAATCCCTATAAACCAATACTTGAAGGGTGATTTGTTATTTGTTGAACTGACAGTTAATCGTTTGTTCATGTGTCCTACATTTTCTTTTGTTTTGATGGATGTGTCTTTTGTCAATGTATCTGCTGATTGCAAGTTTTTCTTAGTGTATATCAGCTAACAACGAGTTAATTTTATTCGTCTACAGGAACTGAACCAGTCGATCCACGTAAGAACTGTTCATCTCCTCCAGTTTCAATTATTTTTTTAATTTCCCCTACAATGATTACTGATCATATCTACATTAATAGGGACTGCCTACGATTAATACCATGATGAAATTACATCTAATCAAGAAGAATGATACAATGAGGGGGATATATTAATACTATTGTTATTTTCAGGTAATGATTTTTGTAGGGATTTTGTTTGACTGTTTGAGGGATGATTTCATCATGAGCCGATATCAGGTACTGAACGATTGGCAAAACTGGACGTACTGGACAGCCGTTTCATCCTGGTCTAGGTCTCTTCAACAGCACTCACCCACTGAGGTTCTAGTGGCTTAATGGTTAACGAGCTAGGCTTGTAACTAGAAGGTTATGGGATCGAACTAAAAAGTGTGTGTGCGTGCTGTGAACAGCCCAAAACTAGGACGAAACAGATGCCTAGTACTCCCTGCAGTTTTTCCAATGGTTCTCTAACCGACTGATGTCACCTCAAGATGAAATCTTCTACCTATTGTAGTTTCTTTAGGTTCTGAGTGAAGTGCAGGGCTTCGACAGTACATCTCGACTCCACTTTTGCTTCTGAATTGCTCTTTAGTTGATTCCGCAACTTCGTGTAATCTGTCATCCCATCTTTGCACGGCTTCCTTCGTGTCATCTTTGGAATGTCAACTTGCTATTATTCATTTGAGTTTTACTCAAGGGACTGGTGTGTGTGCGTGTGTAACATCACTAAACGATCACCGTTGCTTTTTACACATTTGTTGGATGGTGCCTCCTTTGAAGAGTCGTTGTCTGTCATAGTTCCTTGATGCTAATCCTTTCCAGCCATCTTATTTTCCGTATTGAGTCAGTGGAGAGGGTAGTCTACTGATAAATTTCTTCTCTAGCCTGTTAGAAATGCTTTTGTTGGCTAGGTGAGTCTCTGGACCATATATAGAAGCGCTGACTAACTTGACCTAGGTGTTGAAACTCCTAATCTTGTTCCGAATGTTTTGTGCAGTTGAATTCCAGAATGATTTCAGATTAGTCAAGGACTGTCTTATCTTTCCAATCCTAGCTAGCTTTGACATCTTTGCCTTTACTAACGCTTGCAGTTAAGATGTCACTTCCTAGGGAGGTACGTGACAGTTTCTCACGTCATAGAGTAGTAGGTAGGTTATAGCCAAGATGAGTTTAGTAGTAGAAATTCAACAATAATGAGTATGAAGGGACAGCCTGAAATAATTACTATCATTAAAGTTTAAAGCCAGTCAGTCGACGACGGCAAGTTTATAAAAGAGTGAAATAGTCACACCCCTCAATGCTGTTTTGTTGAAACCGTAAGCTTTCATGAACACTCCATGAAGAATATCTTAAATAAATATTAAATTATGAGTAATTTTCTCGGGCTTTTGTTGCCTTCCCTTACCGACGAAGCCTTTTCCATCCTCTTAGACAAAATCTTCAGCGCTGACTTGCTGCCTAAAGGGTAAATAAAGGCCAAGAAGATATAAATCATCCAGTTTAAGAGAACTTAACATCATCAAATACAACTGTCTGATAGAATGCTTGTCACAGGCATATTATAAGCATCAGAAACCCTTGAACGATGAGGTAATATATTGGCCTTTGACTGCTTAGCTCCCCTGAACAAAATAAATAGATTATAAGCAAGACGATCAGTGATTTTGGTGGTTTAGTTGAGAAGCTCTCATTATCTTACTTGACAGTCAATGCCATATAAAAGATAAATTTCAGTGACTGCGAGAAACATAATATTCATCGAAGTGGACACCGCCTTCATCTTCGCATCTGTGAACATAAAATGGTCGTCAAAAGACACAATGTCCACTCCCTGACATTACTGAGTACAGACAACAACGGACACCAATTTGACTAGGGCAATGTACAAATCTTAGACGGGGGCTGCATTGAAAATACCACAGAATTTCTAGAATCCTGGTATTCACGTGGATCAGCCATGAACAGGTACATTGACATTATTATTTATTATTATTATTGTTCCCTTGGATTCCTAGTGGAACATAGGGCTTCAACTTCACCTTGAAGTGCACGCTGAGGATGTTGCCTTCTAAGACACTGAAAGCTTCTCTCTTTTATACCTAAGAGCATTGCTGAGATGAGAAGCGAATCAGTAGTGTTCACTGGTATTATTCCTTAATGCAGGGAGGTGAGTGGCTTCGTAACAGTGCTTTAAATGGCATAAATCTGACTTAAACAAACTGATTAGCACTTACGAGGTGTGCAACATAGACGGCACTGAAATATAGACTAAGTCGGAAATTAAATATTCTGGCGTCATTCTATCTACTGATCTTTCCTGGTCGTCTCATACCTTGATGCCTTCTAAGAAAACATTCCGTCTTACTTTCTACATCAAGAAGTTAAGACATTCTGGAAAAACCCGACCCTTACTCTTACGATTCGTTAACTCTTGCATACTGCCTATTATTCTCTGTTGTTCCTCCTGAGTTTTCCTGGGCTACCGAAGAAAGACTAAACCTTAATACGCAGGATGTTGAAGGATGTCAGCAGGGTAAGCCTATATAGGAAACTATATGCTCGCACTAGCAAGTACAAAAACTCAACCATACCCTACTTGGCTAGCTCGTGTTCTGGACGATAAAGAAAGCATTAGGCGGGAAACTCATGACTTATCAAATAGTCAGTAGAACAACTGGATCTCGTCTTTCCAACTCATATCATTCATAGATAGGTACAACGTTTTCTTTCTTTCTTTTCCTTTTCTCCCCCTTTTTTTCTGTCATGTGTTACTTTGTTTCTTTCTTCCCTACAAACTCTATTTAAAACATTCTTCTTCGTTCTTTCACACTCTGTATATCTCGACCTTTTTGTTACTACTTACGCTAGTAAATATGCTAGTAGTATCTACTTTTCTAACACCTTCAGACACTCTGTTCACTTTTGGCTTTGCTACCGACATGCTAATATTTTGTTGTCAAAACTAACTGAGATTAGCTTTAATCTATGTAGAATTTTATTGATTGTTGACGTAGTGACTGGATGCAATACTGTGGAGGAATGCTGAGAATTGCATTCTGTATCACATATTCTGTTTTGGAATAAAGCAAATTATTATTATTCTTAAATCATAACAGTTCTCAAATCGATTCTAAGTAGGGTCAATGATGCCTAGTGTGTAAGAATCTGAAACACGCATGAAACTAAACTGAATTGAAATAAATCCTTGGAGATTACCACACTCTGAAAATGAATTAGCACTTTTATATTTCTGAGTTGATAATTACAATTTTCCTTCACTTCAGTTGGGCAGGGAAATGACGATTATTTTGATAACTCATATGAATCAAGTCCTCAAAGGTAAGTTTGTAATTTTATGTTAAATTTTACGTCGTGGGTTAATGAACGGATTTCTTTAGTATGATTATTCGTGAATTGTGTCTTCAAGAAATTATATCCGATGAGGGAATTGAGTCACAGGTGTGAATGCATAAAGTGGTGATAATATTTTGAGGTGGTTGTGTTCTCTGAGCAGCTGGATAGTTAATTTGCGAAGTTTTCATTGCGCTACTGGTCAACATCTTCAGCTCATACTTCAAATCGCTGAAGTGAGCTTTTATATTTCCCCATGAGTTTATTGATCATCTGTGCTGTTGGGTGACCTTGGACATGATTGGTTGTTTTTGTGTGATTTCACATCCTCTAGGCTACTTGTATTGAAATTGATTGTTTCTTTGACTTGAACTTTGACCCTTTGTGTGTGAGGTTTCTTTCTTATCGGTTGATAAATTTTGTCTATCTCGATATGTCTATTGATTGATGATTCAGTGGAATGCCAAGCTTTTCAAAATTCCCTAGAATTCTTTTTGTTTTCTCAGTCTAATATTTGAACTCTGGTTGTCCCAGTCGAACTGATGTCCGTGGTTGTCTATATGCAGTGAGGTGATATGAAGGAGTGGATATTATGTCTTTTAACGGCTAGGTTATGTTCGTGGATACGAAGACGAAGAGGATGGGTGTCCACTTTGGCCAGTGTAGTGTTTTTCGCAATTGTTACAATTTACTTTATATATGATGTTGGTTTTGTCTTCTTTCGCTGTTAAGTCTTTTGTTTAACACAGAAATGGTTGAGTGAAGTGGTTTTGTTGGCTTGTGTGTAACAGTAGTTCCTAAGGGTTAGAAGAGTCTTGTAGTGATTTCTGAGATATCCTTTATATATGGTAAGGCGATTTTCTTTGTGTTTTCCTTGGGGCCTTTTGGTTTGATAGGTCAGCTTAGAGGTACGTGTCTTTTGCTGAAATTCCGTGGATATCCATTCTTTTGGAAGACGTCCATGAGACATCTTTCTTCTATTTTCCTTAAGGTGTGAGTGCTGAAATGAGTCCTGGTTGGTTCTCTTGAATAGTGTTTGTGTGCAATCCCTTTTGTGTGTTATTGGATTGTTGCTGTTATAATTCAGGAATTGGTCTGTATGGGTTGATTTTCTATAAACTTGAGTTTCTAATTCCCCCTGTGGTTGTTCACGTGACTAAGACGTCCAAAAATGGGATTTGGTTCTCGGATTCTTCTTCTCTCGTAAATTAACTATCCAGCTCAGAGAACACAACCACCTCGAAATCATCCACATGATGGTAATAGTAGTTTTAATTGTAATTGAAATATTTGTGATTATAATCATGGTTAAATGTCAAAACAATTAATGTCATGTAGAGAATAATTCATAGTAATTCATGTATAGATATCGGTAGGTAGGGAGTGTGCAGTTATACGATTAGTAGACAAATCGAATAAAAATAAAAACGTTACATAATAATGTGTGAAATTTGATAGCATAGAATTTAACGTTGCAAAGGAGAATTGACTTAGAATGACAAATGGAACGAGTGAAATAATACCGAGGACAGTTCACATTGAGAAGAGTAGTAGTAAAAATTTTGCGTAATAATGGAAAAATATACAAAGTGGACAGAAAAACTGAAGAAAATTTTGTCTATTCATTTTGCATCTTTTGAGGAAAATCCTAATAGAAAATGGATTTCCATCACGTTTTATAGACAAGAATATACATTCAAATCTTATGAAATGTGATTTATCATCCGCACGCAAGAAAATACTGTACATGAGCTTTGAATTCAAAGGTGACTTAGCTTCCAATATATCATGAAAAGAAGGACATCACAGTCCCTGAAAAAAGCATTCCCTGCTGCATCTTTGAGAATAGCCTTTACCAGTCGACCACTGCTGTTCAATAACCTGGAGGATAAGATCCCACTACTGACCGACTCTATATGTGTTTGTCAATTCACCTGATCGTGTGGAGCTAGATATGTTGGTCGTTCGACTCGGGTGTTGTCCATGAGGATGCGAAAACACTTTTTTTCATGGTTACGAAGACGTGGAAGTGGAGCAATAAGACGTGCGGTCATTGAACATCTGATCGATAATGATCACCCTGTGTTTCTACAGCCTCCTTCTATAGTCATTTTCAAGGCAATAAGTAATTTACCGAAATCACTACATACCCAACTCATCTGTATTGCTGAAGGCATCTTTGGCTATCAGAACAGAAAAGTCAGATGTCTGTATACAGAAAAAGTTCGTCTAGCCCCTCTAACTGTCATGTTATTAATCCTTCTATGCTAAAGTATAATAATCCCCAATCATATTTTGGCCCTACCAATTTTTACATTTTGTCTATTACTATTCTCACTTTGAACTGCCCTCAGTATTATTTCTCTCGTTCCACTTGTCATTCGAAACCAATTCTATTTGCAATTTTAAATTCCATGTTATCAAGTTTCACACACTGTTACGTAACGTTTTTATTTTTATTCGATTTGTCTACTAATCCCATAATTGCACACCCCTTCCGAGTTCTATACATGAATTACTATGAATTATTTTCTAAATGATATTAATTATTTTGTCCCTTGACATTTGACTATGATTATAATGACAAACATTTCAGTTTTAATTGCATTTCATACTACTATTATCATCATTTTATGCATTTACATCAATGATTTTATTCTCTCACCTGATATTATTTCTTAAAAACCATATATATATATACGATTGTACAGCTTGATAACAAGTTCGTTGAAAAGAGTCTCTTCGCTGAACCACCACATTTTTTGATTTTCTATAAATTATGATTTCAGTCTAATCACGGACACTGACAGCTACAGGAATAGCCATTTCCAAGGATTGATGTCAACAATGAGTAACATCAAGACTCAGATATAAAATTTGAATTCTCCCAGTTTACACACTTCTCTTCCTCAGTAACTGATAATTGTTATTCTTATTCTAAAGCACTTCAGATCTTCTGTCCAACCACAGCTATCACTGTTATCATCTTTACAGACGCATTCATAGGAAAGGAGAGCGTCTGCTACCGTCATTAGATGCGGTGTCAATTTCTCAGGCTGCTTCTCTGAAATCAAATCCTGAATCCCCGTTTTCTGTTATTATCATAGTGGTTAGATCAACTATCAACAAATGGATATAGCAGTCAATTGAAGAATTCGTAGCCGACACTAAGCCGACTGGAATCACTAAAAATATCCAAAGTCATCATAGTATGCAGGAGAGGCAGCTGAAACTTCCACCAGGTGGTTCTGTTCTAGTAAAATGCAGCCGTTATCTTATGCGTCGGAGCATAACTGCATGTACTAGCTCTAGAATTACTGTCGCTGTCTGTGTCGTATATGTGATCTAAGAAAATATATCTGATTTAATGGACCATCCGCTATTTCACCGTCTTAAGGTATGTACTTAGACACGTACGTCTTATTCTCTGAGACAAGCATCTGACTGCTGGCAGGACAGATCACTGTATTCCTACAATGATACCCTTTTGACTGAGCATTTATACGTTGGTTTTCAAAAGAACTAAACACACTTATCGTTGCCTCTTGCAAGACTAGACCAGCATGTAGTATCATCCCGTGGCGCAACCACTCGGCAGACCTCACTCCTGATTACCTATTCTCACCATTTGCACAAATAATAATGTAAAGATACGCACAGTTACTCAAATAAATTATCGCGTCAATCAGTTATGCACTACGTAGAGAAGCCCAGTAGAGACGATCTTGCATTCACGATTAGCCAAACTCTTTATTGTTGCCAAGAGTAGCATCCATAGCAACGATGTAATGACACAGGCCTCTATAAACGAAGACAATACCCTGCAAATTTAATGAAATATTTATCCATGAAAACCGATTTAGCATGTCAGTAGGCTTTATACGTCTGTCAAGGCTATAGAAAGTTATCCACAGCCATATTAGTGAATTATAAGAATGGTGCAAAACACGCTAGTACCATCTATGTAGTTTTTGCTGTGGATAATGTAGGATTTTACGAGTATTTAGCAAGGCAGTTTAGTTGACTGCTATCAGGCCCAAACAAGATTAAGCCTCATGATCACAAGCTTTAATACTCTTATCTCGCCTCCTTGAGTCATTTGGGAGACGTACACCCATTTTCAATTTTTCAACTCTTTGGAGCTTGAGTTAGAGTTTGTAATCCATAAACGCATAAATATTCGTTCAGCAAAATATGTAGATTTTGAAGGTCAACAATGGTGAAGGACTTAAGTTAACTATTTACGCCTTATTTCCGCTTTTCTCAGCATCTCAACTGCCCAAAATGAGGTGGAGACCGTGAATTTCGGATTAGACGAGGGAAGCACATTGTCACTCAGAAAGACTAACAATGTCCGATCCCAACTTTTCTTCTAATTCTTCTACTTTATGAAAGGTGCTCCTGAAACGAAGCACATCAACACTTGGGTTCCGACTGGAAAATAGAACTTCAATAGCACATCTCCACTTTGTTCTATTTTCTTCTATTCTCTTTAGCTGGGCCTACAATTGTCCATAATCTTTCATCTTCTCCCCCATCCACACGATCTCCTCTACATCACTCTTGGACGACCCACCCATCATCACCAATTTGGGTTCCAGTCTAGCGATGGCCTGCATTAAGCGCAGTGCCATCCGACGCTAAACCGAACACTAAATTGTCAAAGTACTGTTAAATGACGACTTCTATCGAAATAGTATTCATCACATTCAAGAGTGAAAGTATGACTATAAGAGTTATCGAAATTGATTGTTCAGGTGACTAACCGATGAAAAAAGAGATGACAGTAGTGGTAAGCCATGAATCATCAAAAATGATGACTTTTTTGTAAAGAGGCTGAACGTGGATCTACTTAACATAAACCTGTGGCACAAAGTCACGAAGATCACTGCATCTACAGGTGGTTATATTTTTGAGGTTTATATCAGTGTCATGATGAGTTAATTTATGAGGCTAGAGACAGTAAGGGAAGACTGTAGGAGAGAATAGTCCGAGTAATTAATTCTTTCTTCACCAAGAAAGTGATTGATATTGTTAGTTTTTTGTTTTTGTTTATGTAAATGTTTATGGAATAAATTGTTTCTAACAAATTTCACTTTTCAGAGACGCAGTAATGTAAGCAAATTTGATATCAAGTTTGAAAATTGAAGTTATAATGCGTACTAATGTATTGTTTCTCATGAAGTCAAATATGCACAGGACTGGTTGAAAACGATTCTCAGCCATAGATCTGACAATTTCGCATCTGAATATTGTGAGTTTCGGCGGACCAATTCAGAATGGAGGTCTGTGACACTCAAGATAAGAAGCAAGTTCCAAACTGTTGACACTCATGTCAAATTAGTGATTCTCTAAGGTTCCGACAAGTTGCCTCATCCTCAACAATGAATATCAAATAACTGGCGACAAAGGATAACCTTGCATTGAAGAACTTTAGTGAATATTGAACCCACCAAAAACAAATCCTCAGAAGAAAATGAAGATGAATGGTTGGAAACACTCTGAGGGGACCTTTCAGTGGCGTCAAATATGCCAGACAGGTCCTCTTATGGAACTCATTTGAGAAGAGACAAGTTGATTATGGGTCTGAGGGTGACAAGCGGCAGATCATGTGTCACAATCAAAGCCGGTTAACCTTTATTTGTTTTATTATAAATTATTTAAATTAATCTCAGAGTCTGTAAGATAATCAGAACAAGATTGTTCCGAATATTTCGATGTGTAAGCCACAGCTTCTTTAGCAGATTTATTCGGATTTTTATTAATCATCAGTATATATAGTCGAAAATTTTGATGATTAATTAAAAAATCCGAAAAAATCTGCTGAAGAAGCTGTCGCTTACACAGCGAAACGTTCAGAAAAAATCTTGTTTTGATTTTCTGAAACACATTGGGATTAATTTAAATAATTTATAATGAATCAGTCTGACTCGGCACTCAAATTATTCCAAGACGTTCGTAACACATACGGTTTGGAAACTTTTAATTTGTTAGTTTTATTTGGTCAATAGACGTACTCATTATCCTTTCTACTATTTCGTTGGGTTTCGAGTGTAAAGTAGGGCTTCAGCTGTTCTGTGCAGTCCTCTTCGACTGACCTCATGGTTACCTATGCGCTTCCAAATCCTCCTTAACCCACGATCTTCTCCATATCATCATCGGATGTCCAACTCATTATGGCTCGTTATATCACGCCATGGTCTTCTCAGAGTGTTTCCTATCTATCTCCATTTTCTCTTACATATTTGTTGTGCAATAGGTTCTTCAATGGTTCACATTCTCATAGTTCATTGTTTCTAATTCTACCTGGCCACTTGAACTTCAGTACGGATAGAAGTCAGCTGTTGATAAAAGTCTGCAGTTGGTTGTTGGAAATGCTTTTGGTGACGTGCTCACCAAGTTTCCGATCGCTACCAAAGTGAAACTTTTTTTTTATCCTAAGTGTAGTAGGTTTGCAAACCGACTTCAGGGGGATGAAAGTCAACTCCGCCTTTGCAATCCTGGCTACCTTTGACATACTCATCCACACCACGTGTAGATAAAACGCTGCTGCCAAGAGAAGGGAAGGAAGTGGCTAGTATCAGATTTATTCCGCTAAAGGATTTCATCCTGAGCTGATATCGGTTAGAGAACAGCTGTTTCGTCCTAGTTTGTGACTCTTTATCAGTATGCACTCTCTCTGATCGGTTGGTTATCTTAGGCATCTCCTCCTTATTTATGTAGGAGTCTCTATTCATGTGATAGAGAGGCTTTGAGAGTTTGCATCTTATTTTCCAGGAGCTTACAGACTACAGGAGTACTACTTAGAGGTTTTATTTATTTTTTGTACATATTTTAACAGTTCATTTGAATTTACAACCTGAAAACTATTTGATAAACACTTACACATGCTTTTTCGCTTTTAATAGGAGGCGGTAAGTGATGCGTCTATTTAAGCACGCTATAAATCCAATCACCTAAGCCTTTGTATCATTGTGACGTATAAGAAAATGATGCACACGGACGGTTATGTATTCAGATGTCGCCCATACTGTTTTTGAAGGTATTCCACATGGATACACGAATCACTTTGTTTGCATCTCTGAAGATTCTAAAGACAGATTCTAGTTGACTGTGGTTTCTAAAAATTCGTTGACATAGGGCGTTTACGTGCGTCAGTTAAAGCCTTCTGAGCCAAAGCTTATGTGATTTTAGGATACATTCTATCCTAATCACAATATCATAAAATAAATAAGTAAATAAGTTAAGCTTTATTCCAAATCAGTACTTGTGATACAGAATGGAATTCTCAGCATTTTACTACAATATTGCATCCAGTTAGTACATTAACAATAAATATAGTTCTACATAGATTAAGGTTATCTCAGCCAGTTTTGACAACAACATATTAGCATGTCGGTAGCAAAGCCAAAATTGAACAGAGTGTTTGAAGGTGTTAGAAAAGTAGATACTACTAGCATATTTACTGGCGTAAGCGATAGCAAAATGGTCGAGATATACAGAGTGTGAAAGAACGAACAAGAATGTTTTAAGTAGAGTTTGTAAGGAAGAGAGAAACAAAACAGCACATAACAAAAATAAATACAGAAAAAAAAGTAGACAGAAAACGTTGTACCTGTAAATGATGTGAGTTGGAAAGACGAGATCCAGTTGTTCTACTGACTATTTAATAAGTTAAAGGTTTCACGCCTAATGCTTTCTTTATCGCACAGAACTCGAGCTAGGTAGGGTATGGATGAGTTTTTGTACTTGCTAGTGCGGGCATATAGTTTCCTATATAGGCTTCTGGTTTTCCCTGAAGAGATACATGGGGAGAGTTGTGAATGTAGAGGGTGTTGTGAGTCAGATAAAATGGATTTCGCCCATTTTTCACATGAGTCCATGTGCCTGTCCACCAGAATATTAACAAGCTGGCTAAGTGGCACGTAGCTTACCCTGCTGACAACCTTTAACATCCTACGTAATAAGGTATAGTCTTTCTTCAATAGCCCAGGAAAGACTAAGGGGGAACAATAGAGAATAATAGGCAGAATACGGAAGTTAACAAATTGTAGGAGTAAGGGTTGGGTTACACCAGAAAGTCTTAACTTCTTGATGTAGAAGGTAAGACGGTATATTTTCTTGGAAATCGTCAAGATATGAGACGACCAGGAAAGATCAGAAGATAAAGTGACGCCTAGGTATTTAATTTCCGACTTGGTTTCAATTTCAGTGCCATCTATGTTGCACATCTCGTGAGTGCTAACCAGTTTGTTTAGGTCAGATTTGTGCCTAAAGGTGAAATTAACTGTTTGGCATTTGGAGGGGTTTAAGGTTAGACCGTTTTCCTTGGACCATTGGCTGATTTCTAATAAGAAGCCATTTAGTTTAGAGCAGTCACTTTGACATTTGACAGGTAAAGATACAGTTAGGTCATCAGCATATTTGACAAAGTTAATGTCATTTGAAGACGGTAGGTCATGTAGGAAGAATGAAAAGAGAAGTGGGGAGAGTACAGCCCCTTGGGAGACACCAGCTTCAGTGAGCACGGCAGAGGAGGATTCGCCTTTGTATACGGTGTACTGCGTTCTGTTTGAAAAGTAGGAATGCAACCAGTTAGTGACCCAGGACTCGGTTTGTGTCATGGAGAGCTTATTTAGCAAGAGACATCTAGGTACAGAGTCGAAAGCAGAAGTGAAGTCAAGAAACGTGCAGCGGACATATTTGGCACCTTTGTCTAATGATGAGACAATACTGTTGTGTAAGACGGCTGCAGCGTCTAAAGTACTCCTACCCTGTCTGTAGGCAAATTGTTTGGGGTCTTCGAAGCTTTTAAGGGAGGTTTCAAGTTTAAGAAGTACTAGTTTTTCCATGAGCTTTAGAAAACCTCACTATCGTCTAGTGGTGATGTATCACACTGACAAATTATCATATGTATAAAGTATAAGCACTACACTATGTGATCCCTATGCCACTCTGTCAGATGGGTTCACGAGATATTACTTTATAATCTTTACTCGATGGTGAAGGAACAGTGTGTATCGAGACTGATGAAGTGAACGCCAATTTCTTGACAAGAGTGAGAACATTCTTATTTGGATTGTGAGCCTATCCGCTTGATTTATACTTTACTTATATAATATGGATTGAAATGCCGAATTGGGTAATACGTTACGATTTTTCATTTCCCTTTGCAGAAGAATCTATGTGCTCATAGAGTAAGTATTTCAAAATTTAAGTAGCTAGCCTTACAGCATTATTGTCATTAGTGATTTATATTTTTGAATGGTTGGGGGATTTCATCATGAGCTGACATCATTTAGAGAACCATTGGAAAATCACCGCTGTAGTACTGGACAGCCAGTATGCACCCACGCCTTGGGGCTCGAACCCAGGACCTTTTGGTTAAAAGGCTAACGAGCTCGTAGACCATTAAGCCACTCACTGGGACCCAATCCACTGGCCATTCTATGAATTCTAACTTCTACCAATTCATGACATAGCGCAACCACTTAAAAGTGTCTTCTTCGATGAGTTACTGCCTCACCTTCAACCTGCTGTACCCTACTGGTCACGGCTTCCCACAAGAACCCCAGGCCACTTTGAGTGTCATTAAAAGCCAAGGAGAACTGAAAAACGGTTTTGTACTAGTATGAGAGTCTTCTGTCCTGAAGATTCATGACTCCACCAGGGATTGGAATCAGGATCTCTAGAATTTTGTGTTCTCTCTTTTTGGGAATTACTTTCCCTTGACCATATTTTATTGTTTTCATCATCTGTGTTGATCTCATCCAGGATAGTGACCTCGTTATCTGATATAATGTTCTGATGTGTCGTTTATCTATGGCCTGTTCTGTTTCAGCTTCCAGTGTGTTGTAGAACTGTCTGTTGTCTTTCCTAGCACTCTTCTTCACTTTTTTATCAAGTGAACTCGGCTTCCCCTTCTGCTGTCCTTCTTCGCATCAGCTCATCTTTTTTTCACCATTCCCCTCTCTTCCACTAGCTTCCAGGTGTCCTTAGATAGCCATTCATTGTCTTGCTTCTACTTTCTTCCTAGAACAGTTGTAAACTTTTCCTTGAACATCACCTTCAGAGAGTTCCAATGTTCTTCCACACAGGCTTCCTCATATATGCCACTTAGTGTCTCCGACTTTTCTTTGTCTTTGTCGCTGTTTCTTTGAGATTAAGACGAAGTTGATCTAATTTCTAGTGTGTCCATCAGGTAGGATACATGCCACCTTGTGTATATCCTTGTGCTTTTATACCTGTACCTACAATCAACAAATAGTTGAAGGCACAGAAGTCTGCGAAGAGTTCTTCATTCTCACTTACTTTCTCGAGAGCCTCTTGGCTCATAATAAATTCTCTTCGTGTATTTTCTGCTCTTACTTTAGCATTCATATCGTCAATTAGGTTTTTGAAGTTGTCATATGCGGTCTCATCCATTAGTGTTTGCGATTGTCAATGGAAATCTTCTTTCTCCCGTTCTGCATTCTTTGTAGGCGTGCACATCTGGATGATTGCAACTTTTCCACCTTTGGAGTTGAATCCTACTGTGATTATTCTGCATGGGGTGCGTTCTGTCTGCATCGGGGCTTTCAGTGCTGAAGGTGATATCATGATAGCCACTTTCTCAGTGTGTTCGTGGTTGTCGTCTAGGTTGCCGGAGTAGATGACTCACTCTTTAGTCATCAATTTGAAGAGAGTCCATTTCCATTCCACCCGCTTTCAAAGATTCCTGGAAAGCCTATGCCATATCTTCTCATTTCTTTGACTAGCTAGGCAGCCTACCCAGCTTTGTAAATAGCGAGAACATTCCACCTACTCAAGCTTACTTTCACTGTCATCAAAAGGAGACACATCGGCTGGCTAACTGGCTTCGCGAAGGCTTTCTCCAGCTCACATCATTATTTCATCTCTCCCATCCCAACGTGGAACAAATTTGTTTTCCTACATTTTTTGTTGCGCTTTGAAGCTACTTTGGTGTCACTAGCCTAACTTTCAACCCTTTGTCTTCCTCCGGGTTTAGGACCAGCTAGACAGCTAATCAAGGTTACTATTCAGTGTGATGTAATTTCATTTTGGGGCATAAAACTAATTGTTCCTCTGATGGTCAACACGCGCATATGTTCACACAGCTTGTTTATATAATGTGCAACCTGATTTCGAATGCCCCTTTTTTTAAGAATAGAAATGCAAGCTTATGAACCAACGGTTATTTCAAAACACATCTGAAAACTCACTGAGGATTTTGGTGTCTTTTTTTATTATCCAGAATGTATGTAATAAATGTTTCACTAAATCTTCAGCTGCAGATACCAGTCTTATTCATCCTGTTTGACTTTACATTTTTTTATAGGAGAATGTTGAAATTATTGTGGTATGTTGAAGACATCATTTTGGAAAACTTAACATGCTAGATAAATTTATGAGTGTTATTATAAAATGTAGTTTAGTGACGAGGCATCAAAAGTAAGATCCGGATTTTCACTTCCAATGTGAAGTCACTGCTACTTACTATACGGATCAGAGACTTGGCGAGTCATAAAGAGCATCTCAAACAAACTTCAGACCTTCATTAACAGTTGTATTCGCTCCATCCTCAAGATCAAATGGCTGACCAGGAAAGATCAGCAACAGGGATCTCTGACAAAGAGAGGACCAACCAGAAACCGATTGTGCAACTAATAGGCAGGAAGAAATGGAGATGGATTGGTCATACGCTGAAGAAACAAATCATCAAGTGACATCACTAGACAGGCCACTGCTCGAGTGGAACCCGAAAGGGAAGTGGTGAGTTGGTCGTCAGTACAAGGGTGACTTGGAGAAAGTCATGTGAAGAAGAGATGAAAGCGTGTGGACAGACTTGGAGCGGGGTGAAAAAGTTAACAGAAAACCGAAGGCGATGGAGATGTGCAGTTGAAGCCCTATGTTCCTCTAGGAATTAAAGGATATAATAATAATAAATAGTGACTAGGCTTTCATTATTATTATTCTAGAAGACAGAATCTTCAAGGCTAAATAAGATGTGAAATGGGACTTAAGAACTCTCCCAAGGTTGAAACATTTATCTATCCCGGTGACAATACCTGTGAAGGAGTGTTTCATATAAGTATAAAACCTGGGCACTGTGGTAGGTAGAGTATAACTCCATCGTAGATAAGATTTTATTTTGATAAACTGCCACACAGTGTATTGTTATACAGTAATATTAACTCGTGCGACCACGATTCGAGCACAAAATATTGCCGCTCATAATCTCATATCAAGTCACTACTCACATAACTTTCTTGCCTCATTTCTGCACATGAGTGGAATTGATGGTTAGACATTGGAATAAAATCAATATGGGATAATGTACATTCAGAAATAATGATACTAGTGTTATCAATCTCATCCGTTATCTGTAAAGGCAGGCGTAGTTAAGTGTCTGACAAACCGAGCAATAGCACCAAGTAGCACAAAAAAGACCTTAATGATGAAATAAAACAGATAGAAGAGGAGTTGGTGTTGAATAACTATCTTATAAAATTCATTAGGAATATCAGTAAAGGTCAAAGGCAAAATTTAAAAAAATAATGGTGAAACTAATGATGATAACATAAATAAGAGAGAACATTAGGCATCTACTGTTATACGATATAAGGAGGGGACATCTGAGGCCCTATGTAGGATTCTTAATAAAGCAGGAATTAGAGTGTCATTCAAACTTACAAACTCACTTAGGGACAAGCTCTGTAGGTTAGAGGACCCTGTAGGTTGACCCAATTAAACAAAATAATATAATTTAAAAAATACCTTGCAATGACTGTGAGTTAAGTCAACTACATAGGTCAGTCAAACTAGCAGATCGGGGGTAGCCAGATTGTCGGAACATAAGAATTTAGTTAAGCTTAGCATGATTGATCCAACAAAGATAAGTATTTTAGAAAACACTTCAGCAATCTTAGTAGATGCATTAACACACAACCACACAATAGGGTGCCTGGAACCAAGTCAAAATTCTAAGGAGTATTGTAGGTAGGTGGGTGGAGAGAAAGACTAATTACTGAATCCCGATTCATTGAGTCTACACCCAACACATGCAATAGAAATGACAATGCAAATGCCAGAGATATGGAGAATATTATTACCATCAGGCAGTTAAATCAGAGGATGATAAACAACTTTAAAATGTATTTCAATTCATATTATAACATTCTAACAAATTACTTATTATGACTATAACAACACTCGTCTTATTTCCCATCTGATTGTATTTTATTGATAACTCTAATATTATTTTTGAATGCACATTATCCTATGTCGATATTTTATTCAAATGTCTAATCATCAATTCCACTCATGTATGTAAATGAAGCAAGAAAGTTGTGTTAGTGAGTGAGTGACTTGATATGAGCGGTCATATTTTGTGCTCGAAACGTGGTCGTATCAGTTAATATTACTCTATAACACTACACTGTGTGATTTATCGAAATAAAATCTTATCTATAATGAAGGAATGTTTCAGGAGATCCATCTTTGACTGTTAATGATCTCCTCAGTGATCCGATATCATTGGATAAATGTTATTTACACTGATACGTGTACTTGTGGATATCAGTTCACCCGGAAACAATAGAAAATACCTACACAGAACAAATACAGAGGGAGCTTGATAATTTCCTGAAGGCTTATTATTATTATTATTGTATCCTTTAGTTCCTAGAGGAACATAGGGCTTCAGCTGCGCACCTCCATTGACTTCGGTTTTCTGACAACTTTTTCACCCTGCTCCAGGTCTGCCCACATGCTTTCATCTCCTCTTCACATGACCTCCTCCAAGTCACCCTTGGACGACCAACTCGCCGCCTCCCTTTCGGGTTCCACTCGAGGGCTTGTCTGGTGATGTCACTTGATGGTTTCCTCAGCGTATGGCCAATCCATCTCCATTTCTTTCTGCCTATTTGTTTCACAATCGGTTCCTGATTGGTTCGCTCCCAGAGATCCCTGTTGCTGATCTTTTCTGGCCATCTGATCTTGAGTATTGAGCGGAGACAGTTGTTAATGAAGGTTTGAAGTTTGTTTGAGATGCTCTTTATGACTCGCCAAGTCTCTGATCCGTATAGTAGCACTGACTTCACATTGGAGTTGAAAATCCGGATCTTATTTTTGATGCTGATTGCTGTTGACCTCCACACAGATTTGAGAGTAATGAAAGCTTGTCTTGCTTTTCCGATTCTGGCTTTGATGTCTTCGTCAGTTCCGCCTGTAGTTGAGACGATGCTTCCCAGGTAGGTGAAAGAGGTTGTTTCTTTCAGGTTCTTCCCATTTATGCTTATTGTGGTCTGTTGTTGCTGTTGATGTTGGCAAGGAATCTTCATCATCTCTGTTTTATCTATGTTCACGTGAAGTCCTATCTTTGATGCTTCTTCTGCCAACTTGTTACTTTTCATTTGCATATCTTCCAGTTTATGGGAAATCAGACATATATCATCGGCGAAATCCAGATCCTCCAAGTCTTTTGTGTCAGTCCATTTTATGCCTGTTCCCTTGTTGGTTGCCGTTGTCTGTCGCATTATCTAATCAATTGCAATCAGGAAGATCATTGGTGATAGTAGACAGCCTTGCCTCACTCCCGTCCTCACTTCGAAGGCCTCCGTAAGTTTCCCGTTGTGGATTACTTGGCATGCAGCATTGTCGTATAACTGTTGGATGAGGTGTATAATTGTCGATGGGACCCCGTAGTAGCGAAGTAGTTTCCAAATGACCTCTCGATCGACGCTGTCGAAGGCCTTTTCAAAGTCGATGAAGTTGAGATAGAGAGGTGACTGCCATTCCAAGCTTTGTTCAATGATGATCCGTAGAGTGGCGATTTGATCAATACATGATTTGTTTCTCCTGAATCCGGATATGTACGAAGGCTTAATATACAAATCAAATGAGCTTAGTTTGTCTATATATTTGAATTATTTTTTATTTGACTGTGTATAACACGACAGTGACCATTTATCGTATGTTCGATGAGACTTTGTTTAAAACTGTTGTATTTTTATGCTCTCTGTATTACAGTTATATGAGCAACTTACTGTAAGTAAAATAAATGAATGTTGGTTTTCAAGTGTTGGTATTTGTAGGGATTTTGTTTGTTTGATTGGTTGGAGGATTTCAGCATGAGCTGACATCAGTTAGAGAAGCATTGGAAAACCAGCTGGGAATACTGTACTGCTGTTTCGTCTGTCCAGTTTGGGACTCTTCGTCAGCACCCACTGGATCGGTTACCACCGGCCTAATGGTCTACCAACTAGCTGGCCTTGTAACCGGAAGGTCCTGGGTTCGAACTCCACGGTGTAGGTGCGTACTGATGAAGAGTTGACGAAACAGCTGTCCAGTACCCCAGTGGTTCTCTAAATGATGTCAGCTCAGGATGGAATTCTCCAAATAATGTTGGTTTTATTTTTCTTTAATTGTCTTACTTGGGAATCTGACTTCCCAAAGAATTCATTCTTCATAGATCTTTGACCACGTCCCGAAATTTTCCAGTGTTCTATGGTCTCCGAAAAATACGATCAATGAGTAGTACTTTTGGATCCATCCCTTTTGCAATGACCTAATGACACATTTCTATGCCCAGTGGAGGTTATCACGACTGTGCCTATAATGACCGAAACTGAAATGTTGTGTGTCTGAATGCTAGAAAATTAATCTTCACCTCCTACTCTATAACTAAGCAAAACCACCCTGAGTTAGGCACGACCACAAAATGTCCCGACGAGAGAAAAAAGACAGTTATTTGTGGCAAAATCTACGGTACTATCTGAACAATAATACCATATTAAAGCTCGGAATTACCCCAATAGTGCTGTTAGGGAGATACACAACTCCAAAGGTTTTTCACATACAAAACAAATAAAGTACAAAAAACTTAACTGACCAGTAATCAACCGAAGAATTAAGTACCGAAAATTCTGAAAAAAGTGGGATCAAAACTCTGTCAGCCAGAATCACACATAATACACTCATCGAAAACAATCCAAGGTCATAGTGCTCATGGTTAGCCTTGAATTTACTCGGAGAAAATCAATCCTATAGAAAAGACCACATTATCAGCACCATTACACAGTCACAAAGAGAAGCATTTAGCACGATAAAAATTCCCATTTAGACATTTAGAAAGCAAAGGGATTGTGAGAAGAAATATTTACTTTTCAATTAGATCCTCATATCACTGTGGTTCTATCCTAGTATATATAGAATTTTTATTACACTACACAACAGTATACGAATCAAGTGGCACTGATATGTTTGTTAACAATAACTAGTCAGTGTCAACATGTCAGTGTGACGGGTGATAATTGACGAAGAAAATTAGTGCACACAATTAGAAGGTAGAAATGGTTACAACATGTGAATTTTGTAATGCTTAATTTAAAAAAAATGAAGAGTAATTAAGGAATAAGCGTGTGGTCAAGTTGATTATGCAACAGATTTTTCAGGGAAAGTAAAACGATTCAGAGAGTGATGATACCTTGCATTTAAAGATGAAGTAGTCAGAAAAGTAATAAAATTATTTGGACAGTCATAATTTCCAAAGGCCAGGGGTGAAATAGTCTTGTTTATACATTCATGGATCGATGGCCAAGGTAAGGAGAGTGGCTGTACAAATATCTTCTGGACACAAAGGTTTGGCTTATTTTGGGGGGGGGGTGATTCATATTGCTTCAGGTCTGTATGTGCAAGATGAACTCGTAAAGCAAAATTAGGATTGCCATGAATGCAATAAATAATTTTAAACGCTGTATTAACATCAGCTTTATGCTCACTGTCTTCAAGGTGTGCTAAAATAGAGCTAGCTACGATGAAATCTTGTTTGTCCCTTGCTTAGCCACTATGCAGGATGATATTCGGAAATACGATGATGAACCTGCCCAATTGTACGCCCAATGTAGGTGGCTGTGTAGCTGCAGTCAAACTGGTAGATATACATGGAGGAGGCAAGAACAGGCATGAACAAATAATAAGGATTATATCATTTGGTGATATGAAACTTTAGAGGAAATATATACAGCCCAGAAGGTAAGAGAACACTAAGTGAAAAAACTGGTTGAAATATCGAAATCATTCAGGGGAATTTTTCAAACAATTATCTCGTTACAGTGCCTTAATTGAAATGATAAATAGAATGATAAACAGCTGTTAATGATAATTTCCAGAATGACCTCAAGCTGTCTAAATTGAAGGAGATCTTCATCCTGATGTATTTTTCAGGAGTATCCTGCTGGAAATAACTCAGAAGTTTTTAAGTCTTTGACCATATTCGATGATTAGGGACAATGGACAGGAAGCCATAGATCTAAGGCTTGAGCGCATAAAGCTGAGTAGTAACACCTCTGACTGCAATACTTGGTAAGGTGGTTTGGAAAAAAAACATCGATTTCTTCCTAGTTGACTGTTTGGAAACAATAATTTAAAAATGCTTTGCGATGGTGAGCTGTCCTGTTAGCCGCCAAAAATCCGAACAAGATTGATGAGTGTCAATTATTACCGATATCGAGGAGTAATCTAACGATTCTCTTAGGTTTCGAATAGAATAGAAGGCTTCAATAGTACACATCTACTTCAGCCTGTTCACTACAGTCCTCCTTCGCTGCCTCCACAATCGCCCTTAAGCTATCATCTCCTTCACATCACCCTTGAATGGATACCCAATTCAATGTTTCTCATTCAGGTTCCACTTGATTACGTGGCGCATGGTATTGCTCAACAGTCTCCCAAAGAAAGTGTCTAATCCATCTCTGTCCAATTCAGCCTACTTGTTGGGTTATAGACTCTCTTTCTGGCGGAGTTTCCTTTTGCCTATCCTTTGTAACAGGCTAGCAGTCTGATTTTCAGTATCAAGAGAAAGGGATAGATGTTATTAAAGTCTTCATTGGTCTGTTGGAAATGGTTTCTGTGAGGCGAGCGACAAGTCTATGAACCATGTAGGAGAATTGATTAACTAGATATTAATGTCGCAGATTTGAATCTTCTTCTATATTGTGAGTGCAGTAGATTCTTAGACTGACCACAGACTAATGTACATCAGTCTTGCCTTTCCAATACTGGGTAGTCCTGACATCTTCATCCTTGCTGTAATCTGCAATTGAAACGATGCATGGATAAGTCATCATCCAAAGTTTCTTTTACAGAAATTCTATTCAAAGTTTTACGATTTACCCGATGTGCTTTCCTGTCTTTTTTTTAACACAATCAAGTGTAAAATTAAACATTAACACATTGAATTATTTATTACGACTTTTGTTTTATAGGAATTTTGTACAGAATATCTGAAATACGATCCAGTCTTTCATTCATCAAAATACACATTCTATTCAAAGAATAATTTGAAAAATTTCAGTTTATTATGAATATTGTAAAAACACAATGTACTTTAACGATTTTAATCATTGACACATTGAACAAATATAAAGAAGTCGTGTAATTCAGTTGAATACCTTTCAAAATAAGCTTTGATGAAATGTCATGTGAATAATTGTTAATATATATATATGAATATTTTGTAATATATCTTAGTGTCATAATGTCACTTGGATGATACCATTTTTGGAGAGTAACTATGTATTTTTGATTGGACACTAGTAACTAGTGTGACGTGCCTAATTCTTTCTTTAGTACAGATTGAATTCTATCAGTCAAGTTTTGCAATATGGCCACCATTCTAGGTAGCTTGCCATCACTGATAGAAATCAGTCTGTACCAGAGAAAGGGCTAGACACGTCACACTAGTTACTATTGTCTAATCAAAATACCCACTACAGTCGTACAGGATGTCAATAGCGAGTCCGGATAGCTGGCTCAGTGGTAACGTCTCTGACTGCGGGTTCGAATCTCAAGAAGATGGGATATGAGCTTCTCTAAGGTTTCAGATACGCCTTACTGACTGGTGAGTGCAAACTAGCAGAAAACCTAGGTCCGAAGCTTCCTGTGGCCGATTGCCTTCAACTATCTAATATCATCGAAACAATGTATTTTGTTGATCTATGTTTTGCAGCGTTGTTAATCAACATTTAGGCTTATTGGAGGTGAACTAATAGTAGTATTTCTTATAGTTATGCTTTCCACCAGAAGGCGGTTATTCCAGGTTACATTCCTCAAATATGGATTTCTACTTCAGTGGCTTTTGTACTGATAATGAAGTTATACATACATGCATACAAGTTATACACATACAGGGGGAGGGGAAGACCCACCGATCTCTGAAAGTAAGGGCTGACGTTATAGCGTATTCCTAAATGGTGAGAACAGACTACCCAGTTCCTTTATTACGAATCATATTTTGGAGACAGGACATTAAATTGATGTTTACACGTCTTTTAAACCTATCTATAGAACGTATTCTAAAGTTTGTGGGAGCCCTAGGTAGCGCTTTGGAAGTTTAAACCAACGTTTTTGCACTCAATGGAACAATTCGTCATGACACTGAACCTTCTTTGGTAAAGTTTATTTTGATACCGGAATAGATATATTATTACCTCTTATATTTGGTTTAGTCATCGTCATTGTTATTTTGACTTTCCATTTGTCTTTTTAACTTGACCTAACTTGTCTATTTTCTCACCTCTTAACTCTTTATTAATTTTCTATATGAGAAGTCCGTGTGTGACCAGACTTTTCGAAATATTTTGAGCAATACACGATTCAGACAAATTGCGTCTTCTTATTGCTTTGTCTAAAATCAAGTTTTCATTGTCACACAAACTTGAAATTCAGTAGGAGAAAACCAATAAGTTCAAAGAAGAAGTAGCAATTGTAGGACTTCAAAAGAACTTAGAGAAAACAGAAGTGATGAAGATGTCTAGCTAGTAGCTGCGACACCAGATAACACTCACTATCAGTAAAGGAATTTTGTAGAAGGTCACCGCTGTTACTTTTGTAGATAGCTTAGTTTCAACTACAGGTAGCATAAGAAAAAAGTGTCAAAGCCAGTCAGGTTCTGAAAGGAAAGACAAATCTGTCTTATCAAGTCACTCTGGAAATCTGCCTCTTCTTATCATAAAGAAAAAGGTTATGATTCTCATCACTAATTTCAAGTGATTCAGCGCTTCTGTATTATTCAGAGACTGGGCGTTTCACTAAAATCCTTTCGAAAGCTGTCTCCTCATTATCCTGAAGACAGCCAGAAAGAATTAGCAAAATAGACCACTGGAAACAAACTAACCAGCCATCTTTTGATAGACAAATATGCTGATTATAAGAACAGCAAAGTTCAGAGAAGAGTCACTTTTCATTTTTGGTTTGATAGGTCGTCAAAAGACATATACCCCCAAGCCAACCTATCAAACCAAAAGCCACCAAGGAAATCACAAAGAAAATCGCCCTACCATGTATAAAGGATATCTCAGAAATCACACTACAAGACTCTTCAAACCTTTAGGAATTGACTTCGTACACAAACCAACAAAGTCACTTCACTCAGCTGGTTGTATGTCAACCAAAAGACTCAACAGCGAAAGAAGATAAAACTAACATCATCTACAACTGACAACTGCGAAGAACACTACATTGGCCAAAGTGGACGTCCCCTTCGTCTTCGTATCCACGAACATAAGCTAGCCGTCAAAAGACATGATATCCACCCCATCACTTATATCGGTGCACGCAGACAACCACGGACATCAATTCGACTGAGACCACCAGCGTTCAAATATTGGACAGGGTAAACGCCAAGAACTAGAGAGAATTTTTAGAAGCTTGGCATTCCAGTGAATCATCAATCAATAGACACATCGAAATAGACACAATTTATCAACCGATAAGAAAGTAACCTCACACTCAAGGGGTCAAAGTTCGAGTTGAAGAAACAATCAGTTCCAATACAAGTAGCCTAGAAGGTGTAAAAACACACAAAAACAATCAATCACGTCTAAGGTCATGCACCAGGAGAGATGATTAATAAACTCGTGGAGAAATCTAAAAGCTCACTTCAACGAATTGAAGTATGCGCTGAAGGAAGATGTCACCTAGTAGGCTGATGAAAGCTTCACAAATCAACCATCCAGCTCAGAGAACACAACCACATCAAAATATATAATTATTTTGTGTGCGTTTGTGTACATTAGAACTGTCGAACAAAAATAAAAATAAAAACTTGTTAGGGTTGCTGTGTATGTCATCGAAATGTGTTAATAAAATGTAATGAATAATAAAAAGTGTAACTAGGAGGGGCTGAAAACTGGTAAGTATTGACAAGGGTTGCGTAATATGAAATAGGATGCTAATGGAGACATGTGTCCAAAAAACAAATCACGTAATAGGTAGAAAGAGTCAATAAAGGGTTAGTTAAGAAGAAGATGTTGCTGAGATGTCATACGAAAATCCAGAAAACGGAAAACACAAAACAAAACATTACTAACAAAGTCGTAGAACTTGGAATTATACCCAAGGTAGAAGGAAGGGGGTCGAGAAGTTTCTTCTGTGTACATAAGTCAGGGTTTTCTATCCGGATGTGTAAAGCCTAAGCAATGCAAAGTATACGGAAGCTTACCGTTTTCAGAAGTCTTCTTTTGACTCTGCAGAGGACGTTGAATGAATTCTCTTTACATATTAAGGGACCAGTGTTGAATATATATTCAATTATAGCACCCTTTATTGATCCATTGTTGCCCTTTCGTAGACACGTGGGATAATGTCGATGTTAGACAAAACACTCATCGGACGACCCATGTATCTGTCTCGCTCCAGATGAGCTTGTGAATTGGTAGATACACATAAAAGTGGTCAGATATGATAGTTTATATTTGTAGTTGTTGAAGAACGATGGGCGGCTTGAGAATACCAATCGTAATGTAGCAGCAGGGAATGTTCTTTTCAGGCCATTAGATATTATCCTCTTTAGGATGTTGGTCAGAAGGTCACCTTTGATCGTTAAATCCATGTATAACATCTTTTTGAGCACAGAGGTGGGTTTTTCCATGTTGATTTTCGGCTTTATATGTTTATTTATAAAGCGTGATAGATAGTCATTCTCAGATAGTGTGTTCCTCAAAAGGGTGATCTCCTCTTCTAGCGATTCGGGATTTCAGATTCTGTGGATTCTAGTCGCAAGAGATATTATCGGATTGAAAAAAGAGATAGAGTAGTCACATTTTGAGGAGAAATTTGAGGGATAATACACGCCAAAGTGGCGCTCGGGTGGAAGCTGGATGGGGGACGTCTAGCCGGGAGTCGTAGAATACGGAAAGGTGAAGTGAGTTTTATTCCCACATTAGGCGCTTGTTTTATTAGCTAGTATCTTTTCTTGAGGTTATTAGCTCAGTTGTTAGTTTCTACTTCAGTGGCAAACAAACAAGTTATCATTGTTTCTTTCGAAGGTAATAATGGATATACTACTTATATGTCTTCTGATAAGTAGTGCAGGTTACCATTGTACAGGTTGTTTTCAGACGATTTCCTTGAGACGTAAAATAAAGATTCCGGCGACTTAAATTAAAACCAACGCATTGAAGAGTAACCTAGTCCTCATTGGTGACTAACTGCAAGATGAAGTCGTCTGAAATTCTGCGTGGGAAGTTGTGGTTATTGAGGTCTGGGAATTCAGGCATAATAGCAGATACTCACTGGCGATGTTGACTGGCTGGCGGCCACAAAATATATCACTAATTAGCAGAGGTTATAATTAATTGGCTGAATGGTCGACGAACTCGCCGTGTAACTTGAATGCCATGGGTTCCACCTCTGACGGATGGGGTCATCGTGGCGTAAAAGTGATGACTGACTTGACATCAATACTGAAAATCTGAGTTTTATTCCTTCTGCTGAGTACAGTAGATTCCTAGACTGATTTCAGAGTATTTTTTTATTTTTGATTACAGCTTGATTCCACACTGTATTTTTTGTACAAGTATGGAATTTTCAGCATGGATACTGGTAGCCCGAATTTTGCAGGCCGACCATAGATATCAGGTGTGCGTCGGTGGGGCTTGAACCCCGGATCATATGCCTTGCATTTCCGCTGATGGCTAAATTTACATCTCCATCAGTGGCACCTGTAGTTGAAACGGTGCCGCTCAAATTAGTGAAAGAAGTAACCTCTCTAAAATTTCTTCTCTTGATGGCTACTGATGCCTGTTGTTGTTGACTGGTTGTATTTATCACCTGTGTCTCCTCTATGTCCATCCGAAAACTCGTCTTTGCTTCCCCCTTCTTCTGCCAACTCCTTGGTTTTTACTTGTAGTTCTTCGAGATAGTGTGACAACAAACACAGATATTTTGTGAAATTCATACGTTATAGGGACTTCATTTTGACCCATCTTATTCCTGTCTTCTCGTCG